GAACTAAAAGATGGGGTGCAGGACAGCAAATGGGGGTCCTGAAGCCGCAGATCCAGACCCACAGGCCAGCTCCAAGAGGGTGCTGACCAAGAGACCAGGAAGGTACTTCAGAGAAAGATCAGTTGGAACAAGAAAGGAGGCTACCAGAGACTGCAACATCCACTTGGTGAACATGCTTCATGTGGGGTTCTGAGGCTCCCCGTGGGGGCAGCAGGGAGGGGGACCGTGTTGCAGATGTTGGGCTATCCTTCAAGGCCTTCCTTCATTTGAAGGTGGGAGGCCATGTGGAGGGCAGAGCAAAGAGGGCAAGCGAGAGGAAGGAAGCCAAGGTGTAGGATGGCATAATAGGGACACTAGAGCCACAAAACCACGGTCAGATGGGTGACTTTTATTGTCTTTTATTTGAAGCTGGGGGCACACATGCCACAGCGTGCGTGCAGAGGTCAAATGATAACTTGTGGAAGTCCATTCTCCCTTCCTACTGGTGAGCTATGTGTGCTCCAGCGTTGACCTTAGGTCATCAAGCTCGGCAGCAGGTGTCTGTCCCTGCTGAGCTATCTTGCTGGGCCCCCTTGCATGATTTTCAAAGAGGTAGACTCTGCAGGGCTTAGTGGCATTGGCCTGAGGGACCCCAGGCCTATGAATGACTGTGACAGGCTTTTTTTTTTTTTAAAACTTTTATTGTGTGGGTGTTTTGCCTGCATGTATGTCTGTGTACTGCTCATGGTCCTGGTGCCTGTGTGATGCCAGGAATCAAACCCAGAGCCTTGTGCATGCTGGGTAAGCACTCTACCAGCAAAACAACCTGCCCAGCTCTCAGTTGCAAGATGGGATCAGTCATGTTTTCTTGTCCCGCAGGTGATTGTGTGGGGGAACTACGGGAGGATGGAGCGGAAGCAGTTCATGGGTGTGGCCCGAGTGCTGCTGGAGGAACTGGACTTGACCACCCTGGCTGTGGGCTGGTACAAGCTCTTCCCCACCTCCTCCATGGTGGACCCAGCCACAGGTCCTCTGCTCCGGCAGGCATCCCAGCTGTCCCTTGAGAGCACCGTGGGGCCCTGTGGCGAGCGATCTTAATGCCAGGAATGGGGAGGGGCTCCCCGAGATGGCCTGGAGACCACCCAGCCCTGACCTGGGACCCCAGGCCCAGGGCCACATTGGACATTGGAGGATGGGGTGCTTCCCCACAGTGGGGAAGCAGGATGGGGAGACCTGCCCCCCTTGGGCCCCTCCTCACTCCTTCACCTCCTACCCCTGAGACCTTCCCTCTCCCAGTGGGTTGGCTACACTTTTGACTTGGCCGGTTTTGACCTGGTGGATGCGGCTACAGTCAGAGAAGGACTGAGGTGGCGGAGCAAACTACTCTCCCGCACCCGCCCCCACCCCACCTATCACCCCTTTTGCCTCCTTGGAAGCTCGCTGCCCAGAGCCAAGTCCAGAACCAAGCCGGCCATCTCCATGGTGCCAATTACCAGCAAGTGTCTTTCCTGCGGCACCGGGTTCAGGCAGCTACTCTTGCCCCAGAGCTGACGGGGCAGTTTGCAAGGATCCGGAGCCAGCTCCCGGGGGGCCAGAGCTCCCCACTTGAAGGGGAGTGTGGGTCTCCCTCTGCCTGCCCGTGGAAGGAGCTTTGCCGCAGCCTGTCTGAGTCCATCCATCCATCCCTCCTGCCTGCCCCTCTGCTGTAAGCTCTAGGAATTGGGGGCCAGCAGAGATCTGAGGAAAGGAGGAGGTGTCCGAGGCCCGGCACAGATCCCCAGGGGCCCTTGCTCTGTGGGATTGCATCAAGCTGGTCTGGAGCTCTTGGTGGACTGGAAAGGACATAGTCATCTGTGAGATGGTGGAGGACTGTGGGGACCTGAGTTTCCAGAGTCCTGCGCACAGGGCTCTCTTCGTATGCAGGGGTAGTGGGAGCCGAGCTTTGAAGAAAGCTGGATTAAGTTTAATGGCACCAAGGTAAGGGTTTCCCAAACAGGAGAACCCCTCCTTATTGGATGAGATCAAAGGTCATCTTGTTTCCTTCTGCCTCTGGTCTAGGGTCTTGGGGAGGCATTAGAACCCCTCCCATTTTAGTCTTTTTAAATAAACCATCCTGTATGAAGGGCAGAAGCCACTGCCCCGGCCTCATCGCCACCCACGGCTCCAGGAGGTCCAGCGGGAGGGATGCAGAGCTAGCGTGTAAGAATTTGAGGCTCCGATGAGGCCTGGGTAGCTGCCTTCCTGTGGCCCTCCCTAGGGCCTGCAGGAGCCCTTTTGCATGCTGAGGGAGGACACAGTCTGGTCCCTGTAGAAGCACATTTCTATCACTCTCCTGGGAGCCGCCCAGCAGCTCCTCACCTCGCCTCTGCTGTGTAGGGTGTAGTCCGGGTTAGCTGGGTAGTTAGTGTTCACCCGAGGCTGCTCTTAGCTCAGATGTAGTCTTTTTTCAAGCCCCAGGCTGGGGGTAGAGGGGAGACCCCAGTTACATTCCAGAAGATTGAAGCCTCTCTCTCTAGCCTGGGCTGGGTGGGCTGCCTGGCTCCCCAAAGACCAGCCCTCCCACCTTCTCCTCCCTGCCTTCCTCTCTCCTCCCGAACAGGGTTGTAGCCCTAACTGTCCAGTATACTCGGCATTCGAGGGAAATACCCTTGGTATTGACTTTCTTTAGGATGCACACCTGAGGATTGCTGGGCCTTGTAGAGGGGCCTGGACTCCATTAGAGGGTGCCATTTTCCACTGAGGATGCCAGGGCTCTGTTGAATCCCACCTTGTTCCTGGTTCCTCTGCCAGGGATTCCTACCCCTTGGAAATTCTCCCCATTCCCTGACTGGCTAAGCTCTGAGCGCCCTTAGGGTTCTGGTCCAGTTTATCACGTCCATATGGAGCTGTTGACACTGCACAGGGAGAGAAGGGGCTGGACACAGGCCCCTCTTCTGCAATTGGTCTTCAGGGTGTCCTTGGGACCGCGGAGGGGCAGGCCCTCGGAACAAGGGAGCAGGGCTCTGGATGGGCTCCCATTTGAGGCCCACAGTTAGCCATCACCCCATTTTTTTCAACCAGTGTGATATCTCTGCAGTTAGGTTATTACTCACTGTTTGGAATATTTTGAGCCAGGAGAGCATCTTCTCTCTCCAGCTGTCACTGCTGTGGTTGTTCAAGATGGGACAGAGCCTGGCTGTCAGAACCAGAGGAGGAAAGGCTCAGCTCTGGTTTGTCTGAGAGAGAGAGAGAGAGAGAGAGAGAGAGAGAGAGAGAGAGAGAGAGAGAACACGCACAGGAGCACAAAGCCCCAAAGCAATAACAACACCCGGGGCGGTCAGTGAGGCCCCCCAGGGATTTTCTTGTTTGTTCCGTGACATCCCACTCACCTCCTGGAGGGGTGGAGTGGGGGGCTGGAGCCCCTATTTCTTTGTGTCATTGTAAGCGTGTGCCCCACTTCCAAGGGACTGTGACCACTGGGTGTGGAGACCATATTTGTCCTCACCGAGGACTGGACGGGCTTTGGGGAGGGAGAGGGATCTTCATCCTTAGCTTTAGGGATTATCCAGCCCAGCCTGTCCCCACTGCTGTCTGTCCCTGGTCAACTCAAATCTACCACCTGAAGAGGAGTAAGAGGGTGGAGTTGGGGGGCCTCTCTGGTGCTGGGTCTCTAGGGGTGTTTCTTTATTTCTCTGAACAGAGGCCACGCATAGGACAGCCCTGTAAAGGGCCATCTCCATTTTCCTTTCCCAGAATGCCTCTGCATTCTGAAGGGCCTGTGGATCTTTAGTCCATTTGCATTTTGCAAAAAAAAGATAAAAAGATACCAAGGCCCTGCCTGAGGAGAGTCATCCTGGGGCCATTGATATGCCCAGCGGCCCTTCTACCTAGATCTCCTCTTCATATCTCGTGCTGAGCTGGAGCCAGGGCAGGATGAAGGGGGACTGCTGAGTCTCATCCTTTTTACTTTTCTTTGGAGCCTGCCTCCTGGTGGCTCCAAATTATGGCAGGACAAGCTGTAGCCAATCCGAGAGGTTAGGAAACCCAGGCCCCAGCAGGAAGTCATTTGGTTAAGGCCTCTCAGCAATATGCATGGGGGGCGGGGGGACGACAGAGCTGGGAGCTACAGCAGCGGACCGGACCAGCGCTTGCTCTGGGGACAGGTCGTCAGCCACCATCATCATTTCAAGCTTCTAAGCACAGGTGGCACTGCCCTCTTGACTCTCTCTCTCTCTCTTCTGGGCTAGCACCTTTTTCTAAGCTTGAATTGGGAGAAGAGGAGGTGCCAGGGTGGCTGGGATCCCCTGGGCAGTCTCCCCAGTGATCCTGAGCTGAAAGATTTGCCCTAGGCCTTTTGTTCTGCGGGTCCAGCTGGCAGTGGGTGGCAAACACAAGCTCCCACCTGGGTGTATAGAGTGGGAACTCCGGGGGAAGGTCCCACCGTCAGAAGAAATAGCATCCCTTCTCATAGCACTTCCCAGTGTGTCCCCAGTGACTTGACTCTGACCCTCACAAGAGCCCCCGATAGTGAGTGGAGGGAGGCTTATGTTGTCAGCCCCATTTTCAGGAGGGGGAGAGGGAGGACCCGAGAGGGAAGTGCCGACTTTGACAGCGGCTGAGCACCTGCTCATTCTCCGGTGGTCCACAGCACAGGCGTGCAAGCACATAGTTGAGGTAGTTAAAGCTTTTCACAAGCGATTCACCACTGGGTTCCTTAAGGCAGGAGATTCTGGAGCAGTTTGAGGTTCAGAAACAGCACAGCACCCCACACTCTCCCAAGGCACAGCTGTTGCACCAGGCAAGGTCACCTGCATTTATTTATTGAGCAACAGCACTACTCTGGGCCCAGAGCCTTGAACCCCCTTCCTGTCCCTTGCGATGGCTCTCTTGGCCCTCCAAGAGGGCCTGGGTCTGTGGAACAGGCCCTTGGTGGATGGAGAGTTTCTACAAGCTTTCCTGGCAAGCTCCAAGGGTGTTTCATCTCAGCAAGAGAGCCTGTGTGGGCTAGGTGGAGGCTGGGAGCAGACGGAGGTGTTTCCTCTGAGCCCCTTGTGTCCTCCCCACAAGGTGGCAGGAAGGTGGGACCCCAGAGTCCGTGGGCTGGGAGCCTCCCTCCATCTACCCACCTCTCCCTGTGTCCTCTTGGAGGGCGGGTTTGGGGGGCCTCTGAGTTGGAGTGGGTCACGTTGCATTGTGTTCATGACCACATAGCTCATGTTGGAAATTAAAGTTTTTGCTTTTCTACCCTGGCTCTGCCCTTGTCTTGCGTCAAGACAGTTCTATCTGGGAAGAGAAGGGACACGTGTTTTAAGGGGTGAGCGCTCTAGGATGCCAAGGCCCCTCGCCGTGGGCTTATAAACATCCCCTATGAGCAGAAGCTTGCCTCAGGAAGCTCTCCCACAGGTGCCCCTGTGAAGCGGGGTCTGCACAGGAACTTACGGATGGAGAAGCTGGGGTCCAGGGAAGTGACATGTTGTTGGTGATGGGTGGGTCCCAGAATGAAATTTATCACACGCCACTGAGCTGCCTATAGATAGTAATGGCGGCGGGGGGTGGGGTGGGGGACTATTCCCTTCATCCAAAAGGGACAAGGCTTTGCTTGACAGTAAGGGCAACCATTTACATGGGCTAATTCTACTCTTCACACAGAGCAAAGGGGATGCTGTCATCGATGGAGAAACTGCCCACTGAGCCATAAACTGCCTTCAGTCTGTCCCTATCTCATGCTTCTAGCATGAGCATCCAGGTTCAGTGTTTAAAATTATGCCCTTCCCCTCAAAGATATCGTGTGTCCTCTTCAGAGCAGAAGCTACCACTCGTCATCCTTTGAAGGGGTGACCTGGTGTCACCCCTCCTCGGAGCTGAAGGCCACATTTTCCTACAAGTTTAGACTAAACAGTTTACACCTCCAGGGTAACTGTAGAGTCGGCTTGTGCATTTAGTGTAGCATTCATGTATTTCTAGAAGGGATGATCCACAGTTGGTGACGGGAGCCTCAACCCCCTCCAAGCCAGAGGAAGGGTGGGTTTGCTAACAGGCGGGGCTAGACATTGACCAGGGAAGGACTGTCAGATGGACTTCCTCCGTGCTCGGCGGCTGGCTGAGCTGCTGTGGCAGTGGTGCAGGGCTTCTGGACTCAAGGGAGGCGAGAAGGCTGGGTTGTCACAGGCCCAGGTCTCCAGCTGATGGATGCGGTGAGAGATGCAGGTGGAGGACGCAGCACGGACGCGGCTCTCGAGCGCCCCCTTGCGGAATGCGCTGGCGCGGCGGGCTGAGCGCTCGGGGGCGTCGGCGCTGGCGAGGAAGCGCAGGACCACCAGGTTGAGGAAAGCACCGATGACCGTGAGCCCCAGCAGGATGTAGAGGAAGCTGAAGGCCACGTAGGGCGGCTTCCTCTGCAGCGCCTCATCTCTCTGCAGCGCCACGAAGTCGCCGAAGCCGATGGTGGTGAGGGTGATGAAGCAGTAGTAGTAGGCGTGGAAGAAGGTCCAGCCCTCGAAGTGCGCAAAGGCCGCGGCGCCGAGGGCCAGGGTGGCTGCGCACAGCAGCAGCCCGGCCACCACCATGTTCTCTGCGGACACGTGCGGCCGCTGCAGACCCAGGCAGCGTTTGGCCGCCAGCAGCAGGCACCTCACCAGCGCGTTTAGACGCTCGCCCAGGCTCTGGAAGGTGACCAGCGTCAGGGGGATGCCCAGGAGTGCATAGAACATGCAGAAGACCTTTCCGGAGTCTGTGCCTGGCGCGGCATGGCCATACCCTGTGCGGGGAGAGAGATGGGATGCTGACAGCCCAGCCTGCCTCAAGATGCTCCCACCCCAGGCCTGCCTGTCCTCAGCAGCTCTAAGCCCTGGTTAGGTCGCCCCCACATTCTAAACACCCATGTGACTATTCACATCCCAGGTGTCTACCCACCCTCCCCGCGGAGGTGGATAATCGACCTATAGTCTTTCAGAACCACAGAATTCTGTTGGGGCATCTTCTGTTCCCAGCAGTAGCCAAGGATGGATTTTAAATGTATGTTACCCAGTGGAGGAAGCCCAGTCCCACAGCATGGACCCAGTTGACAGGATGCTCTGGAAACAACAGCTGGAGAGACAGAACAGCTCTGTGGCTGGCTAATCTAGGCTTGAAGGACTACCCAAGGGCTTAGAGTTGGGGCTGTACAACAGGGGTCCTGTGGCTTGGTCTGCACATATTTGCTAGCTGCTCTGACAACCTACGGTGTCTAGAAAATGTGAATTTTAGCAAATTATGCCTTGGTCAGAAGGGACAGGAAACAGGTCTTCTGTGGTTTCTTAGTATCCACAGGGTAAAGTCCCAGTTCTCACAAGGATCCCCCAGCTCCCCCCCACTTCCAAGCCTCACCCCTCCACTCACCTCCTTCCTCCCCAGCCTCACCCCTCTCTGCTCACCTCCCCACTCCCCAGACACACCCCTCCTCTCTCCTCTCCACTCCCCAGCCTCACCCCTCCCCTCAAATCCCCAGTCTCCACACTCACCCCTTTTACACCCACACTCTCCAGGTACACCCTGTTGTTCCCCTGCTGGGAAGTCATTTCCACACTTCTTTCATATTTTCCTCCCCTCGGACTGCCTTGTCTCCCCTTCCTATCCCCTGCTCCCCTCAGATTCCTCCTCGTCTTCTGCCACCCTGTTGGCCTTCACTAAACATCCATTGGTTCTGGGAGTCTCTGGTTCAAGCACTGTTCACTGGTTCCCTTGTGGGATCTAAGCATGGGTGGGCTTCCTTGAGTCATGGGTCCCCTGCCATGTTGTGGAATGTGTGGATGTGTCTCTCTCTGGGGAGAGCAACAATAGCTTACATGGGCCCATAACCAGGGAGAAGTGAGGGGGTCCATCTCCCAAAGAGAATATCCTCCAGCAGACTGACCCTGTCTGCCCAGAGGTAAAACATACAGACCCCTAGACATGTCCAGTTCTATATGGTAGCCTCCAGTACATACAGATGTGTGAAATGGTGAGCCACTGTGGCCACAGCAAAAGTTAGAACCGAGCACACACCCATCAGTAGTGGCCTGGTTAGGTTCATCTCAGCATCATTCAAACAGTAGAACACTACACCAGACCACAGTGCCCATATCACCATGCAAGCATCTGGCAACACCTAAGGAAGTTCTTGGTTGTCTCTACTAAGGGCCGGGAATGGGGTAGCTGTGTGTTACTGGCATCCAGAGGCAGAGGCTGGGGATGCTTCCAGCAACTGACAGAGCACAGGACAGGCCCCCAAACACAATTAACCAGGGCAAGATGTCAGTGCTTCCAAGGTTGAGAAGCCCTGCTATTCAGCCTGAAAAAAAATGACGTGGCTCTTTAGGGTTGATTAAAAAAGCATTGAGACATTCTAAACTAGGGCCTGGGATACAGCTCAATTGATAGAGTGATTGACTAGCATGCCTGGTGTCCCAGGTTCAATTCCTAGTACCATATAAAAGGCAATCATGGTGGCACACATCTATAAATCTCCAGCACCTGAAAGGCTGAGGCAGGAAGACCAGAAGTTCTTGGTCATTAACAGATACGTAGTGATTTTGAAGCCAGTCCAGAGTACATGAGGCCCTGTCTCAAAAAAAAAAAAAAAAAAAGAATGTACTAAATGAAAAGAGCAGGAATAGGCAGAATAGTGCATATAATGTATTCTCCATACAATGTGTGTGGTGTTTAAAGGGACGTGTACACAGAGCATGTAGCTGGAGTATTCAAGAGACGAGTGAGATGTCTGTGAACTAGGAGATGAATGAATGGGTTAAGAGATAGGACAGAGACTCAGAAAGACAAAGGTGACATGTTCCCTCTTTCATGTGGAATCTAGATTGTAACAAGGGGGGGAGGATATGAAAGCTAGGAGAGGGACCACTTGGGAAGAGGACCAGAGGAAGGAGGACAAGAGAAAGTGAGGGAGGGGTGAATATAATCGGAGTGCCCGATAGATGTGTGTGAAAATGTCCCAGTGAAACCCATTGTTCTGTACAACTAATACACATGAATAAAAAAGACCAAAGAGCTTCCAGGAAAGGGGGGAGAAATTCCTTTTCATTCTGCACCCCTTGGTACCTGTGAAATGCACAGTGTGAACATATATAATATTCAGAGACTTGGTGTAATGTAAGCATTTAAAGCCCCATGGTTGGCTGCCCTTTCACTACGTGGGCCCGTGGGCCCGCCTCCCTTTGGTACCAGGGAGGGCACACACTGCCCATCACTACTTTGAATCCGTGAGGGCAGGAACCATGGTAGCCGCTTCTGTACATCCTGAGTCACCCATGCTCTGCACAGACACACAGACAATAGGTCCATGGAAAGTTAACGGACTCAAACCAACCGGGAGGAAAGGGAAGCTAGAGGGAGTCTCGGCCCTCCTGAGGACTAACAGGCCAGGAGATGCTGTTTTCATCTTCTGGAGCTACACCAGGCTTGAGCAGGGTGAAGTGAGTATTAACAACACACACCAGGAACTCTCCACGGATTCTCTCATCAGGCCCAGGGTTAACAAACAGTGTTACAACCCCTGTTTTGTGATAAAGAAAGCAGGCTCAGGGGAACCGAACTGTGCAAAGGTCCTAGAGCCTGAGTTGTTAGCCCCAGGTCCTCCATGCTTCTTGGTGCCTTTCTTTCAATAAAGCAGAACGGAAACTCTGGACTCTTGGGGCCTGGCTTCCTGCAAGGATTTTTGTTTGTTTGTTTTTTTGTTTTTGTTTTTGGTTTGTTTTTTGTTTTTTTTAACACGGCACAACAAAGGAAGTGGTGCGCCCCCAAGTGGCCAGAAAAGCCGAAACATTTACCGTTTCTACACCTTTTTTTTTGTTGTTTGGTGTTGGTTTCCCTGCCGCCGCCCCCTCAAACCCCTACCCCTACCCCACCCCCCTCACCCCCCACCCCCGCGTATCTTTCTCTACCTTGGGTTTCAGGTTAGTGAGGGAGGAGGCCAAATCTGACCCGAAAGCGAAAACGGGAAAGGGCAGAGGCTTCAGAAATGGCACACCCTCTGTAGGCACGGCAAATGGGAGTGTCTGGAGAATGGGGCTTGTAGACAAGAGAGGGCAGAAGCATTGAACGGAGCTGGGTTTACAGTTGGCAAATAATAAGTTATTACTACCGATAGTGACTGCGCAGGCTATGGCACCATATGCTGGGCCGTTTATACTCCTGGCCTCACTTTAAAGCTGGCATTTGCCCGGCAAGGTAGAACATTTGCTTTTTGCCTTTGACAAAAACAGGTGGGGGGGGGGCACAGTCGCTTGCCTGAGAAAGCAGGTGGCTGGAGGGGCCCAGAACTCAGCCTTCAGGCTTGCAAGTGTGCTTAAACCCATGGCTACTGTGCAAGTGCATTCTTCCAGATGTAGGCTTCTGGTCTGCTCCTGGAAGGCCACCGGGACACCTGGCAACCACAGCTGGAGCCTGGTACCAAGGGGTGAGCTAACACAGGTCTGAAGCCCTGGAAAACCGCTTCTCTCCTTGAGGTGCCCCAGGCTTCGCCCCTCAGGTCCTGGCCAGGTGTGGTTATGGCAACAGCTGGAGTCCAAATAGTGTATATAGCGGCTCCTCTGGCTGCCCCAATGTGAGCCAAAGCTTTGGTAATCTGCCATTCCCTTAACAAGTGGTTGGACTCCTATTAGTCTCTAGGACACTAGCCACACAGCAGTCACAAGGCAAATGAGAGCTGTTATACGGGGCTAATAGAATAATTGTCATATTAATAAAAGGGCAATCTTATTCCCACGGTGTTTTCTGTGGGTCAGGTCCTGTGCTAAAACGATCTGCACATAACAATCTCCACCACAGCTGGCCTTTCTCCCTTCCCCTTGCAAGACATGTTAGGACTCCTAGTTTTCAAAGGAGAACCCGGTAGCTCAGAGAAGTCAAGAAACTTATCCAAGGCTACACAGCTGATACAGCGGGACAGGGAAGCCCTACTTCTGTTCCCCAAGACCCTGGGGTTTCCTCTAGTCACCCCTGTGTCAGCCTCGTGACAAACCCACTGACTGCCCCCATTCCGCCCAGTGAGGCAAATGAGCCTCAGAAAGCTAGCATGCTCCTTCCAAAGACAGGGACGGGGTGGGACTGCACCCGAGGAGAGATCGAGACTGAGCGGGACAGGGGAGGCTCCCAGGGCTCACCGATGGTGGTGATGACTGTGATGGCGAAGTAGAAGGAGCCTGCGAAGCGCCACTGGCGGCCGGCGCGGTGCCGCTCTGCCTGCAGCGCCAAGCGCTCCAGCTCTCGGTAGTCGTCGGCAGAGAAGCCGTACTTTCTGCGGAACTCGCTGCGCTTCCGGGCCAGCAGCCGCTGCCGGTTGCGCTCGGCCTCGGACTCCAGCGCATCGAAGACTGCGGCGCCCACCAGCAGGTAGGACAGAATGCACAGGATGAGCGCGGCCGTGCGCGCGCTCTGCTTCCTCATCGCGTCTCGGGGGCTCCGGGTTTCCGTGCGCCCCGACGGTGCCAGCTCCATCCCTCCGCGTCCCGCGTACAGCAAAGGGCGGGCTCTGAGCTCTCCCGCCGCTTCCCCGCCCTAGCTCACGCAGGTCCCCGCAGGGACATCTGGTGCAGAGGCCCAGCCCAGGTGTGCAGAGGGCCCGCCTCCATCCCGAGCTCGCCCTAGGACTTGGTGCTTGTCACCCTTTCCTTCCTCCCGTCTATCACCTAGGAAATGTTTGCCAAGCGCCCTCTGGTGCCCACCCTTCTCGGTGGGAGTAGAACAAATGTGCCAGCAAGTAGGGAGGGATGATAAATGAGCAAAAAGATAAGGTAAGACAGGTGTGATAAAGGAGAAAAATAGCGCTTGAAGAGGCGCGTGCCAAGCCATCCAGGAGTGACCAGGGAGACAAAATCCAGGCCACAAGTGTAGGTTCCTCGCCAAATCAGAAGGGAGGTGACTTGGTGCAGGAGACAGGAGGAAACAGTAGTGAGGCTGGTGTGGCTGGAGCCAAGAGAATTGGGTTGCAGGCTGGAGAGAGAGAGAGGAGGAACCGTGAGAACTGACTTTTTCCCCCTTATTTTTATTTTATATGCATTGGTGTTTTGCCTGCATGTATATCTGCGTGAGGGTTCTGAATCCCCTGGAACTTGAGCCACAGACAGTTGTGAGCTGCCATGTGGGTGCTGGGAACTGAACCAGGGTCTTCTGGAAGAGCAGCCAGTGTTCTTAACCACTGAGCCATCTCTCCAGCCCCAAGAAGTGACTTCTATAAATCCATTTTTAATTTCATTTTTATTTTATATTTGCCTGCATACCACTTGCACAGGGCCCGTGGAGACCAGAAGAGGGTGTAGGTTCTCCTGGAACTGGAGTTGCGGTTTCCAGTTGTGAGCCACCATGGAGGTGCTGGGAATTGAACTGTAGGTCCTCTAGAACAACTGCTGAGCCACCTTGCCAGATCCCAGGCTGAATCTTCAGGACAACTGAAAACCATGGGAAAGCAGTAAGCAGAAACACACGCAGTTCCACCATAATCTGGTTTTTTTGTTTGTTTGTTTTGTTCTGTTTTGTTTTTTAAAAAGACCAGGCATGGCAGTCCACACTTGTAATCTCAGCGGTTGGGAGCTGGAGGCAGGTAGATCAGGAGTTCAAGTCCTGACTGGGCTGCTTGGCACCATGTCTCACCACCACACCTCAGAAAATGCGAGGGACTGCCATGTGGAAAAGAAAAGGTGGCCAGAGAGTGAAGCCCCCTCAAGAGGATGGCATCACCCAGATACATGCTAAGGGGGGGCTAGCCTAAGGTAACAGAAGAAGGGAAGCAGATGGCCCTGGGATACATTAGAGAGCTGGACACAGAGCAAGCCCTGCTGTGTGAGCTCCCTGGCATCAACAGGCTTCACCAGTCCAAGCTTTAGCCAGTATATCCTCGCAGAAACGACACATGCTGCTCCGAGGCCTGAGCTCCAAAGCCCTGCCCCCACCCCACCCCACCCCTTCCCCTCACCTGCAGGCTGAACATAGCACCCCCAAAGAGCACAGGAAGTCTGTGTGCCTTCTTGTGATCCATTATATCAGGGTCTGATTGGGGGGGGTCCATCTGTCACAGAAGGTGATACACTCCAATTCACTGGACAAGAGTCACTAGTGGATTGGGTGTAGAGGTAAAGGGAAGGACTCAGGATGGCCCCGAGCAGCTACATGTTTGGGAAACCTTCCATTGACCCCTCTTCTCAAGGAGCACACTCCTGTCTCCAAGCACCAAAATGGTACCTTCTTCAGAGTCCTACCTGTGGGCCTGTATGGAGACTTCTGGTACAGCACCAGTTACCCTCACCTGAAGCTGTTGGGGACAACTGGCCCTCCCAGGTGATCTACTGCAGCATGGCACGCATTGCTATCATCGTGCCTAGTCAGGGCTGTCTCCCCATAGCCTCTCACCCTTGCTTGCTTGGCTCATTACAGCCTTCTCCCCATCCCACTCAGCCAACATCTATTGCCTCCCTGCCAGGGGCCGGGAAGCAGCAGAAGTGCCATACAGGTATGTCGGTGCTTAATCACCCCAACTCAGCTGGCTCACACCCTGGCCACTCTGCCACTGTCAGCACAGTTGGATGTGTTTCCCCAGGGGGTCTCCTCTGAGCCCCTAGAGGCCTCTGAGCGCCTGCTGTCTTCCATTCCTCCCACTACAGTATAACCCTCACCTTCCACACATGCATCCCCCACCCGCAAGGATCATCCTCCGGTCTCCAGCACCCAGACCTGCTGCGCAGCACACACCTAGTGGCAGTTTGAGGTCAAATGAGAACTTTCATGTGCAAGTTAGGAACAACTCACTTGCATTGCTCCCGGAGCTTGGCATGGTTCAATTTCACCACCCTCAGAACGTTGGGTTTGTTTGCTTGTTTGTTGTGTTTGTTTTTGTTTTTCAAGACAAACTTTCTCTATATAATAGCTCTGGCTGTCCTGGAACTCGTTTTGTAGACCAGGCTGGCATGGAACCCACAGAGATCGCCTGTCTCTGTCTCCCAAGTGCTGGGATTAAAGGTGCGGGCCACCACCGCCTGGCTTAGAATGGTTTTTGTCTTTCATTCTTTTCTGTCTCATAAGGAACTGCAGTGGTATATGAATGGCCCCCAGGGATGCCCAGGCCTCATCCCTGGGATCTGTGAATACATCTGGCTGCCTGGCAAAGGGAAGCTGAGGACGCTGATGGCACAGGTTGCCAATCACCTCAACATGGGGGACGATCTCAAACCTCCGGGTGAGTCCACATCACCACAAGGGTCCCTATACTCGGAGATGGCGGCAGGAGAGACACACAGCGATGGCAGCATTAGGAACTCAGCCTGCTCCCTGAAGGAAGGGTAAAGCAGGTGACATTCAGGAGCTGGAAGTGGGAAGAAGACGGGTTCCTGCTTTGTCTAGAGAAAGGAATGTGGACACACAGGCACCCTTATTCGAGCCCAGGGAGGCCCGTGTCAAGAGAACGAGAAAGTTCTTCTTTTTGGGGGGCAGGGGTGGATGTAAATGTGCAAGTACACATGTGGGGGCGATATGCATACACACGTGTGTGCACACGTGTAGAGGCCAGGCATCAACTTTGAATGTCACTCCTCAGGAGCTATCCACCTTGTTATTTTCTTGGAACAAGATCTCTCATTAGGATTCAGGGCTCTCCAATTCAGGCAACTGGCTAGCCGGACTGCCCCAGAGATCCTCTTGACCTGACCTCCTCAGGTGGGATTACAACACATGCCACCACACCTGACTTAAAAATGGGTTCGATTGGGGGATTGATCCCAGGTTCTCATGGTTGTTAAGCAAGCACTTTACCGCTGAACTCTCTCTCTTCAGTCCCAGAAGGTATTTGGAGGGGAGTGGGAGGTGGGGGTAAGTCTCCATGTTTGTGATGATTGACAGCTGCCATAGGGTAAATGGAGAAGGCCGGGGAGCCCCACCTTGCCAACAGGATTACCCTAGGGGCATTTAGCCACTGTTACTATCACAGTGAGTGGACCCTGGCCTGTAAGACCTCAGTTCTGGTGTGGAGTTGGGGCTCAGTGCCTATAGAAAAAGATTTGCACACCCTCACCCCCAGAGAGTCAGGATGTCAGCCAAGTGGCCCAGAAGCAGGTTGCTGACGCGAAGAGCTAACACAGTTGCTGAGACTTTATTTTTAGTAAGGGCATCAGCAAGTTTGTTTTTCTGATTCTTCTCCGTACAAAGAGGCAGAAACCTGGGCAGAAGCCTTGGGGTGGGGGCAGGGCGCCAGGCCCTTCCACTCAAGAAGAGTTGGAGAAAAGCCTGTGGGGGACAAGCAAGCTTGGGGAGCAGCTTGGTCGTGGGGAGCGGGGGAAGAGAGTTCACGAGGATGATCCTGAGCACAGCTGAGGTTCACAAAGACTTGAGTTCAAATTCCTCCTCCTCCACTTTCTACTTGCAAGTCCAAAGACAGAACATCTCCACCTTTTTGTGCTTCGATCTTCCCATGTGAGAACCCAGATACCAACGCTCCCCACGGAGGACCGTTACAGACACTGGGGTGTGCTGCTTCCCAGGTACCCTGAGCTGGTAGTCTTGTTTCCTCCCTTTTCAAAACTGCCTGTCTACAGATGCCAGGAATTCTGTTTTCAGAAACAGAGGAGAGGCTGGCTAGAGGTGCTGGAGCCCTGTGTGTGCTGAGCATTGCCACAGCGTCACCTCTACAGGTCAGGAAAGAGAAGGTGCCGATCTACCAAGTCCCCGTGGTCATGGCTGAGACAGGACTCGAACATGGGGCTGCCTGAATCCCAAGGGCACCACTCTTCTTAGGCTAGGCACTGCTGGCCAAGTCACTCTTCCATCGGCCCTGGGCACCATGCTTTCCTCATCTGTGAGATGGCTGCAAGAGCCTCAGTAGACAAGCTGTCCCGCCACTGTGAGGATCCCGTGACATAGAGCTGAGGGTGACTCGTCAGATGTGCCCACTGGGGTGGGTATAATTGGGGCCATGGAGGCACTGTCTGGCCCTGCCAGGCAGGTGACTCTGCCCTGTGCTTGGCATTTTTGGTTCAGCAGTGCTATTTTAAGCCGGAGGAGGCTAGAGTTTGTGTATGTGTGTTTCTCGGCTTGGAAAGTCATCAGCTGAGCAGACACCAAAAACAGAACTCCCTAAGGCACTCCTTTCAGCTCCCCTCCTCCCCATGCTTGGGGACCTGAGGGCACCTAGTGATTTTCCTTTGTCCCCTGGTGCTAGCATTATACCCATGGCCTTTCAGGGTGGCCTGGGGGCTCCTCAAAAGCTGGCAGCCTTTGCCACTCACACACTGGGGAGAGGAAGCTGAGGTCCAGCACAAGAGAGGGGACTCATCTAAGGCCACACAAGATCAGGTGGTGAACAAGGGACCAGGATGGAGTAGATAGTTATCTGGGACCTTGGGTCCCGTCGTAGGCATGTGACTTCACCTCTCTGAGCCCCAGTTTGCCCTCATCTCTGCCTCAGCAGGTGGGTAGGAATATCTGCCTGACAGGATTCCTGCGAGGATCCAATAAATGTGCTAAATACAGGGTCTCACCAGCAGATGACAGCGCCCCTCCACCATACCGGTTTCCCCCCAGCCCCTTCCATGTTGCTCATTCTGAAGGGCTTGAGGGATCACAAGAAATTGATTTTTACAGTTAGAACGAAGTTCAGTGATTTCCAGAAAGCCAACAGGCTCAGCCATTTTTCTTGATAAGATCCCTATGTGTCCCTCTTAACAGAACTGACTGTTTTCACCCCAGGGGACATCATTGGGAGC